GCTAGAATATGACCGAATAGCAGTCGCAAACCGAGTAACAACGTATTATGAAGCACGTTTTTCATGTATTTTTCTTTATTATACTTCGTAACTTTGTTATTTGAAACTTTATTATCCCTTGCGCTGATATCGTGCAGATGATAGGTGGTATCTATATACTTTTTTTTATATCTATACGATATTATATCTACACTTTTTTTGTAAACTATTTAAATTATATTACAAGTAAATTTAGAAGTTTCGATTATTTTCCTTTGTACTAATTTGTATTAAAATATTGCGTCGTGTAAACGTGGAACAGACAATTTGATCAACGCAAATGAAGATTTATTAGAAACACGTAAAAAGCCTCGTTTCCAAAGAAAAGCGCGATACAAAGTGCAAAATAAGGATAGAAAAGCGGCTCGAAAGGTCCATGAAAATTTAAACTTTGTACGTAACTAAGATTAAGTATCGTTGCTACTGATTCATTTCGATCTTTGTAACACCTAATAGAAACAACACTTTAGATAGGATTAATGATTATACATGTAATGAAATCAGATTGAACAAATTCTTGATATATTTAGAATCATGGCTTATAAAAGTATAGAGATTAATAGCAGTGCTATATAATACTGATATTTATTTAAAAAATCATGATATTATAAATATCATTATCTGGGAAATATTTGCATAATTCTTATAACGTAGTATTCTTGTTATTTACATTTTTACCATATTTTTTGCTATATTTTTCGGTCACTAAAATGTATTGCTATCCAAAGAGATAGCATAATTTTAAGCATTTCACGTTCTCTTCTCTCTCGCGACAATTGTACCTTTCGTTCGTTGGTCTTCACTGACCTACTCCAAGCTTTGACACCTGCATTCTGTTCAATGATAAACGCTGATTCAGCGTTCTCCCTTTTCACTATCGCCAGACTGGCGTGCGTATTTTCAAAGAAAAAGTAGGTCACCACCTTTCCGGAAATTCGATTGCCATTCAGTATCTTTTGCAGTTTAAATGTTGCACTTTGAAGTCATATCCTTCGAACCAATTGAAATAACAACTTATAACAAACTGCACTTCCCAAGACACGCTTTTTTCCCGGTGTTCTATGGATTCACTCAGAAACGTGATACTTTTCCACTGTACATTTTACGTTCAATGTGTAATATTCATTTTACACGGATTATTGTTACTAATACAACCGAGAAGAGGATAATTCTATGTAAAAATAATAAGTCGGAAGCATAGAACGAAATTTCATGATTAATAGACAGCAAATGCTTCGAATATATAATTAAACTCCATACTGTTTTTCTTCCTTTAACAACTTGAAATATTGAATTTCAACCATATCGACTACAAAATCACTAGATAAATTTCATTCGCGGGTTATTCATAAATCATTTTAGATACACATTAAAGTTATTTCAAAATCTATTTTATACATCGTTAAAAAAATTCCACTATCGTAATATTCCATCGTGAGATACGTGATAATTAGAATCTTTTGCTTCATCTTGGTGATTTTCATATTCCTTTCCCATTTCTAGTTTCTCATTTATTTTTAACAAAATACTGCCCGTAAATATAAACGACTTGCTGTTCTTATACTCATAGGGAAAATAAATTCGAGGCCTTAAACGCGAACTTCAACGTGAATTTCTCGGTATATGATAAAATTTGAACCGACTGCGTAATTCCTCTTTACGAAACTTTTCTCTCAATTTTGCAAAAAATCCGCTTCCTGTTCTCATCTTTCGCTTTCCTCGTTTCATCTCTCGAACCCGTTAGTGCTCTTTGCTCTCTATGCTGTTCGAAATGAGCCACGCTAACAGCGCCGACGAATACATCTCTTTAATGTATAAAGAAGTTACTAACAACGTACTGTTCGTACTGTGATATGGTATCCTTTAAAATTAAGGGAAAACCATTTTGGTCTCTTTAATCATAGTATTTATGAGCTTGTGCTTGTCTCTTTAAGCCGTTTTGCAAAGGTAATTCATTGAAAGGAGGAAATTCGTTTAAAATTAAAAGATTCTCCTGGATAAAAGAACCGCGGAATTCTTCGTATGTTTAGGGGTAAAGTAAATTATTGATTTAAAATTAATTTTTAAAGACACAGGTAGAAATGACGTACGATTAATGAATGCATAAAAATGCATACAAATTATCAAATCATGTTATACTTCCTTGCGAATGAAGACACATAAATATGTATTTAAAATTATACATAAATATCGAACGTTTTAATTAAACTAATATATCCGTAAGCTCGTTTGAAAGTATCGAAAGTAATAACGAGATAAAAATTATAATGAAAATAACTTTGGAATCATAGAATACCGGCAGAATTTTCGAGAAATTAATTCTCCACGCAGAACAAATATTGTCTACTAACTAGAAATATTTACAGTGTCACGTTAAACGATCTCACACTTTTGATCTTTAATGAAGCCCTTTTTTGTGATAATTTAAACTTCGCTGAAAGCACGAAACGCTTGGTCTATTTTAAAACGCCATGCAACGTCAATGCCCACTTTTCTTGGTGAGTGTAGTCGAAATTGCGCTTTCGCATATGTAGAGCGTACGGAAACGGAGACACAGTGTCGCTGCAATCATTCTCTTCCGGCGTAAAGTCAAGCGTGAACGAGTGGTACAATGGAACAGAGACGAAAGCTACTACGAGCCAGCTCCTCCATCTTCTATCGCCATTCAAACTTCTGCTAGAATTTCCATAATAATTATTGCGTCTGCATTGGAAATAGTTAGCCTGTGGTTCGAGCTACTTGTACGCGTAACGCCCACGTTTTATTTACCGCGATAATTCTCTGACATTTTTCATTTTCGCTCGATATATTTTAATTTTGTACAGAACGTAATTTATTTGCAAAGTTACAAACGTAGAACTCAAAGCAACGTCGATCCACGGCTCGTTTTTTCCCAAGCAAAACGACGTTTTGGCTTCCTGGTTTTCTGCTCAATGTATTTCAACCCTTTTGGCAGAATGAAATTTAATGAGAAAATTACAAATGAGCAACTCGTGACAAAAACGAACCTTCTCCGTGTTTACCTTCCTTTAAGAAAACAAAAGAATACTCTAGTACCTTTAGTTTCAATATATGTACTTGAGTTTTCTAATAAAATATTCACATCACAGAGAAACCGCTTAAATCGTTTGGTAGAATCTCATAGCGAAGATAGTTTCCATAGAATCTATCGATTTTCAGTGAAATGAAACAATGCACAAATCAATATTTTATAACAGTGATTAACGTCTCTTGATTTTCACTAAATTAATTCGTACGCTTTGGTAAAATCCACATAGTGTTGTTATAAATCGATGAAAATGTGTGAATGTTTATGATCGTTAATGTGTCTATTGATTTCATAAGAAGATTGTAAATGTCGTTTTCCATCGTCAATTTACCGCTAATTCGTGCATCATATTTTAGTAACACATTCGCGTATTGTTAATAAAAATCCTGCAAGCTGTCCACGTACTTATGAGCAGCAGTGTACGCTTTCACGTCGTGGCGAGTTTCCGGTTCGTAAGTTGGTGAACTGGCATTAAAGTTTATTACCCGTGGGACGATGTAGTATCTGTCGTTATCGTCGGACAGTCAATTATCGCGCGATTAAATGGGCTTTTCGCGTGTACACTTTGATTTCGATTTAATCTCCTTCTCGCGTGAACAAAATCGAAATTTTACGAAAGCGATACAGCGGCTACCAACGTCTGTTACGTTAATGGATTTCTCGTTACATCTATCTTTTGGTATCGAGCGAGAGGAACTCGAAAACATTATTTTAATCACTATCTTTTGTGCGATATCAGTAACGCGGAATACGATAATGCGTATAGTCGGGTAATGACAAAACTCGCGTATAAAACGGTGAATGATTCGATATGTTTTACATTCTTGTTCCAAAACGAAAATATTCATGCCTCTAAGATAGAGAAATTCGTCTATTTTACTGTGGAAACAACATTAATTGTACAAATTAAAATCAAATACCTTGAAATTAAATGATTCAAAGTCGAGATCGCGTACGAGCAAACAAATGGATGAAGATTAAATATAATTACAATGCAATAAATAATATAACTAGTTGAATTTAATAAATAAATTACTTAAATACAATAAACAATGCCGATCGATCTGTTATAAATCGTTGTGTAATATATCTACAAACATTGATAGAAAAACAAGTTTTAAATCTCATCGTAATGGGCTGTTTCAATAAAACAGTTCCCTAGGTGATAGAGAACTCTAAATATCAATGGCTTTCCCAATTAAACGACATACCATTAGTTGCAGTCATGGCATGGTATCATCCAATCGAAATGAAGGTGTAAATCGAATTTTAACTAAAGTATACAAGCTGAATCCACGATAATCTATTTAAATCGACTTCTCGTTCATTAATTAAACACACGAACGATGTTCGTCGTATTTTATTCCCTTTTCCATTCTCTATCGTTAATATTTCATCGCGTTTCAATTCCTATGATATTCGTAACGCAGCAACTGATTATATCAACAATTTCGAAATTTTATTTTTCGAAGCGCGATTATATTAATTGTACCAATGATCAATAATATTGATGAACATTGACGAGAGCCAAGAATAACGAAGACAACTTTTGTTTTTAATAAATAAAATTCCTTCATAGATAATAAAAAGAAAGACGGATGACTGTAATCGTTTATAATAATAATCATCGTGCCTAATCAAAATCATTTAAACTATGACGCGAATCTTTATACTTTAACTTTTCAAATTTGTGTTGGAACAGTTATAGACTGACTTCTATTCTGAATATTCTGGTACGTTAATTTAACGCACGTTGCACGATTTCCAATATTCATATTTCATATCATTTTATTGTTTCTCCTCTTCGTTCTCTATTATGGATATTTTGTCCGTGCACGAAACAGCGAACAATTTCAATATACGAGATGTCGTATCTAATACAGCAAAGACCAATTTTATTCCGATGTTGCAGGACTTCGTTACTGGTCTCAGCATACTGTCTCGTGGTTCCATCGACGAGAAGCTGCGCTGGACGTTTTCCCTTTACGACATCAATGGCGACGGTTGCATCACAAGGGAGGAAATGACGGACATCGTGACAGCTGTATACGAGCTGATGGGAAAATTTTCTGACCCGAATATGGACCATGAGGGTGTGCGAGAGAAAGTAGATCGAATGTTTCAGGTATGAATTTTTCCCTATTGTGCAGATTTCCTTATCGTGCAGATATTCATGCGCGAACTTTGATTAAAGTTCGATTAAAGTTTGCACAACGGTAATTCATTACGTTACATTATTGTGTTCGTATGTTACATATTATACCAATACGTTAATTAGAAACTTAATGTGCAACCCTTGGTACATAGTTAAATTCATAAATCTTCCCTAGAGAACGATTCGATATAAAACTCGGTATAAAGCGCAATTTAAAATATCGTAAATCAAAAAGCAATTTTAAAATACATCGCGATAAATTAAATTAAAAAACTTTCGCGGCAAAGAAGAACATTGCTTGCGGTTAAATTACAGTTAGTAAAGTACAGAATCTCAAAGTTTCAAAACACAAGTCGGTACTTTAGAACATTTCTTAAGAGTTATTTAATATAAAATGAAATTTTGTCAGCTATTACGTCCTTACATCTGTACGTACTATTCCTGTAATTTTCTCCATATAACATTATTCTTGTGCCATGTTTCATGAACATCGAAAGCATATTCGTTTCATAGACCATCTGGTAAAACATCAGCTATACTGTCTGAGAACTACGTATATAGAAATTTTTATAAAAGAAAAGTTATAATTATTTTCTTCTTATTGTACATTCATCATTCGCGTCGAAATTACTTTGTTCGCTTTAATATTAAATTAAAGAGAACAGATACATATATGTTCGAACATAGATCGAATAACAGTATAATATTTTCTCATTTGAACACGTTCATTTGAAATTGTTACAAGTATACATTGTACGCTTCACTGTACATCGTACAATCGTGTTACAAGAAATTCTGATTTTTACCTTTGTACAAAGTACATCAAACAGTTTAACCTATATAGTTGACAATTAATTTGTCGAATTGAAGAGTTGCTGGTATAGTGCGACAGCTAGAAAATCGATGAGCTACTCGATGATCTTTCATCGTAGAAGGTAACAATAGACAGAAAGTTTTCACAGGCTTTGACAAGCTTGTTCGTTCACTTTGACGAAGGAAAACGAGTGCTCGTAAAGCATCCAGTCGATTTCAATGATGCAAGGAAAAGCCTTTCTTTTTAGCGACTGTCACATTGTTAGCCGCGAATGACAATGTCTGCGATGATGTACTCGTACCCTTGTCTCTGTTATCTTTTTTCTACGTCGAATAAAGGAGGATTCGTTTCAGCGAGACAATTTTGGTGCGGACCCCATACCACTGATTTATCAGAAAGGAGTTTCTGTTATCCTTCGTCTTGAGATGTCCTCAATTTCAACTAAATATCTTACGAAAAGGAAAGATAAATATATCATAGCATTATTACAATTATTCTTTTTACTAATACTTTTTTTTACTAATTAGCAAGAGTAACACTCAACAAGTAAGTGTATCAAAGCACGTGTATGTCCAGATATTTAGAAAATCTTTCAAATACGTAACATAATTGTATTATCATAGTAATTACGAAAATGGCCTAATCGCAAGTTAAAAACTAAAAGAGACTAAACTTGTTATTTATCTTCTATTATATCAATTTACATTATAATAATATGGAAACATTTTTTAATAAATTGGATAGATTGCATTGCAATAAATTGAACTGCAAAATGAAGTTTATAGTCATACAGTTAAAGCAGTGATATTTAGTGTAAGTATACAGGGTGGTTGGTAACTGATGGTACAAGCGGAAAGGGGGTGATTCTACGCGAAAAAAGAAGTCGAAAATATAGAATAAAATTTTTCTTTTTAATTTTTCTTTCTTTTTTTAATTTTTCCATCGAGACAACGATCTACAGTGAGATCCATTATAACGTACCCCACGCGTACCGAACGAAAATTCAAAGTCGATTTTCTCGAAAACAAAGCCTCAAACGAAAAATTTTTATTCTATATTTTCGACTTCTTTTTTCGCGTAGAATCACCCCCTTTCCGCTTGTACCATCAGTTACCAACCACCCTGTATACTTACACTAAATATCACTAAATATTGTTTTCTTTCAGAATTATTTCAAGCTTTGCCGATATTATTAGAATTTTTTGCCGATATTATTAGAATTTGCCGATATTATTCGACTCTCATTACAGTGATGCTGAAATCTTAGAACGTTTCATACAGTACATACGATATACACATAAAAATTTTCTACAAGCGTTCACAGTTCGAAGTGGCTTTCGTGAGCCACTGTATATGTACGTAGAGTAAACGAATTAACAAGCAATTCAACGATAAAATACTGTAATTATTTGTTGCATAATCAATTGATAATTTCCAATCTTCGTCTCGAGTGCTTGCTGTAGCTTGATCATGTTTATGCGCAAACGTCATGAATGTTAAACTTCTGCCACGAGGAATGGTAACGCGAATTTATTGGCAAAGCTCGTACGAAATCCAAGGGTAAACGGCTTGTTTACGACTACCGGTTTTCGCGTTCACATATGCATGCACATATATGCACAAAGAGCTAAGAGAACTAACAAACACGAACCGGGGGATGAGTGGCGAGGAAACTAGTACGATTCTAACGTGAAATCGCATTGCAAAACATGCACTGACGTGCACTGACTAAATATCCAAAGTTCTCTAAGCGCTTCGTAGTCTATACTTTTCGAATCTTGTTGCTAAAGCTACCGAACTTCGCCGTGTTCATTCGACAAAATGTTCACTAGTTCTATGAAATTCAGGAATATAAACGCTTCATTCGACGCGAGATCAATGAAACTTGGAGATAAAGTATATATCCATATCTTTTACTTTCTTTATAACCAGATTATCGATTCTTACATATTTATATTAAGCGTGAAAAAAGAAAAAAACACAAGAACGAACGTAAGTTTAGAAGTATATGGTCGTATGCTTGGAACTAGAGAAGAAAAAATTATATGAATCCTAGCAATTTATTCGTTGCTATCATATTCTTAGCATTATTTCCGATAGTCTTATTGACTTTTTATTAAATCTACATGAGATACGGACGTTAGAAATATTCTTATACATCAACACCTAATTTTTCGATTTTCCTATGACCTACAAAACAGATGTATTCTTGCATTTTCGACAAACGAGGACAGAAGCAACACGGAATTGCCAATTTAAAGTTTGTTCCTCCACGATACAAAAGAAGAATACGAAGTTTAAAGTGGTTGATATTTCGTTTCTATCGATTACTTTTCTTCATCGGTATCCAATACCGGTACACTTTACTGTCCAACGTGTCCGAATGAATTACTGTACTTCTTTATAGGTATTGTGCTTCCATAAGAAACTGCAAAAAGGATATTATACTACAAGTTTGTAGTTGTATTGTATAAGAATTGTTTCGTTGACAATACATAAGCGTATATACGTATGTACGCAGACTAAATTCACAATCCTAATAACGAAATAGCAAATAGCATTGAAACTCCGACGACACCTTTGTCACATCGGCGCTCTTTCTCCTTCCGGTATACGATTCCGGGTTTCAACAAACGACGATGACGCTTCGTGGTGCGGTAGATTCAATCGGTGCTAATTAATCAGTGAGAAAGCAGATGTAACTGATGTGAGCCACGCCATACGCCGTTCGTTACTCCGTATAGACTTTTAATTAAAAATGAGCAACGTATAGATCATAGAGAAAGGATCGAGGTTTAAATCAGATCCATTGTTTCTAAAAGCCGCTACCGAGCTTTCGAGAGCTCTTTACGCCCAGCCAAACATGCGGATCATGTTATGTTTAAAAACAGGGTCAAGCGGCTTCAATGATGTACACAAATAAATTTAAATCAGTTACTTAGCGCGATGAGATATTTTCAAGATTTTAAGACTTTGAGATTTTAAATAATCGTAGATTATTGATTTTACCTAAAGTGATATGTTATATTTATGAGAGAGTTGAGTTTATTATTAACCATTAAGGGCATGATTTTGTCAAATATAGTGAAAGATCTTGAAAACGCCAATTCACTGTTGCCACAATATTAGAGTTTGGATCTCAGAATGCCGCACCGTAGGATTAATAACACGAATATAAAATTACAATGTTAAAGTAAAGATGAATATTATCCGTTTTGCTATTTGATTGTGTTCGAAATTTAGCGAATGCTTCAAAATGAATTACATCCAAAATGTTCGTTCAAGCGCGGTAACCATTTTCAAAATTATTTCTTCTCTTATTAACAATATCATTATTATTTGTTCGCAGAATTATTAAATCTTGTACGAACAAAACGGTAAATTAAAGTAAGAAAAGCTTCTTAATTTATCGCAGGAAATTACATTATGAAAGTCTATACGTTTCTAATTAATGAAATCTAAAAACATGTTTGATTAAAGAGTATCACATCATATAATATGAATATTGAATTTATGTTTGAAGAACCTACGTTTCGATAAATGTGACGGCGTCCATTACGTTATTGAATGATGCACGATAAAATGCAATATACGAATTCCAATGCACAAATTGATGAATGTAAATTTTTATTTCTCGATTTACCTCGCCAATAAAGCACATGAAATAAAATACACATTACTAATAATATTCATACGTTGTCAATATTCATAATTCGACGACCTTCTTTTAAAACTGCCAATTTAACGATATCCTCTTTTTACTTAAAATTATTAAACAACACCAGTCGTTAAATAACAACAGTTATTAAATAACGTGTCGTTAGAGCTTTCGCGTGTCATTAGAAGAAAACTTTACTTGGGAAAACTGATACTGACTGCAACACAACACAATATCTACCAAGTTTAATGAAGTGTTAGCTTAGAACCATGATTAATAGCAACGTCCGAAGTAAGCTTGTTATTAAATTTCTCCTTCTAGTTTTCTAAAGTAAATCTATATCATTGAAAACTAAAATATTCCGTATTAATTTTCACTCGATGTACATAATATTTATTCTGTATAAGCGTGTGAAAGATGTCAAAATGCCAGCTCGCTATTTAAAGAAAACAGAGAAGGAGGAAACCAAAGCATCACAGTTAAAGTGACATGTGGAAACGTAGAAGAGGAGAACAAATATCGAAGGTCGGAACAGGAAAGAATGTGTAAAATCTGCAAGAAGGATATTGGGACGTTAAAACATCTGGTGGTAGACTGCACCGGAGTAGAAAGAATACAACACGAGTGTAGAAAAGATTCTGACGGATGAAAGATAGGAGCAGGAAGGAATAAGGATAGAAGGAGACGAAGAAAGAAATGGTGGAAGAAATACCCAAGATTAAAAGGTGCAATAAGCAGACGGTTAGCAATAGGGGCTGCTGACGGAAATAATAGTTTTAGAATAGGAAGAACTTCTGGCGTGCTCTGTAACTCTTAGTATGTAGTAACTGGGTTAAGGATAACATAAGAATAAAGGAAGGACGAATGAGAAAATCGGACGAGAAAGTGTGCGATTAAAAAAATCGTAAGCGAGTCGAGCTTTACGTTAAGAAAATCCACGTCAAAATGAAATAAATTATTATTATTGCTATTTATTCAAAATACCAAAATCAATGAACTCAACTATATTTGGATAAGATTTTTAATAATTTAATAAAATTATTTATTTTTTAATCGTATCAAAAATGATACTTATACATATACAGGTCAATTCAATTTATTGAAATTTTATATTATTATTGTTATATTAATATTATTATATAATATTATTATTCGATATATTACAATCAAAGTTTGAAGGATATTTTAATTTTAATTTTGTAAGACTTACGCGCTACATATATGAGACGCGTGATTATTATAATTGTCACTTTCCATTATCCAGGGGAAATTCTGTATAAACACAGCGTACTATCGATTAGCAATAAGCTAGTATCCGTGGCATTCGATTTCTGCAGTTTGCGAAACACGGTTCTCGAATTACACACGAGCTTTGCAGATACCATCCTTTTGTCTTCAACCATTTCTCCTAGAATACTAATGAGCACCGACGTTTTCAGCATGGTGTGTAACGTTTCAACGTAGTTTGAACTTTACATTCAGTCAAAGCATTAACCACTTACGCAAAAGTTTACGTTCTCTAGTTCGGACGTTTAACATCATTAATTACCAAATTTGTAAGGGTTAAAGGAAACTTGGAAATTTTACAAAATACCATTGACTTTAAGAGTTTCATAAAATAACAGATATCTTCAGCGCATTAAAAACTGAAACATACCGATAATAAAGTTTCTTATGAAATTATTATCGCTCGCACGTGATAAAAAATTACCTGCTCTCTCCAAATTTCATAAAATTGTAAGATCTGGATGGAGCATGAAGTAATAACGAGGAAAATGTTACACAGATTCTTAAATTTCCTTTTTATAGTTACGATATAAATTTGATAGAATTCAATAATGTAAATTCATGAGAAAAAAATTACAAATAAAATGTTGCGTTAACGTAACTTCGATCTCTAACACGTTAACTGCCCCGTGGTCATCGGTTATGGTAAGTATTTTAGAATAATTAGAATAAAATAAATTTCATGGATAACATTGTCAAAAAATGAAGAGTATTCAAAGGCAGTATAATGTTTTGTAAAAATTAAATGTCGTAGTATAATATATTTCAATCTATTTGAGCTTCCAGGACAAAATATAGTAAAATGAAGAAGTTTCCCGAACTTCTCTTCGTATTACAATAGATAAATACAGGGTGGTTGGTAACTGGCGGTACAAGCGGAAAGGGTGTGATTCTACGCGAAAAAAGAAGTCGAAAATATAGAATAAAAATTTTTTTTTTAATTTTT